CCCCCCCCACCCTTCCTTCCAGTTCACTATGTTCATCTGCTGTGCTGTCATTATTGCTATCATTCAGTTCTGTAACTCTTGCCAACTCAGCTACTGGATGCGCTCAAGCTTAGCAACTCTAGTTGGACTGGCACTTCTTTCACTGCTCTTCACATCTCCCTGCAGGTAAGACAAAGTTGGCCAAAATTTTAAAGTGAATTCTGATTATCCACCAATTAAGCAAATATACTAAATTGGACCCGACCCATATCAGGGCCGATCGGGATATTTGACAGAAGAAAATTCGATTACCAATTAATTTAGAAAACGCTTACAAAGAAAAGATATGATTTACAGGTAGAACTTTGCCTCTTCTACAATACACATCTGTGCTTTAGGACTTTACAACAGAAAGAAAGGCCGTCAAAAATCGTTTTTTTCCCCAAAGTCATTATCTTTGGCTTATGTTTTAATGCAAGGGTGTCAAACTCATTTTTGTCACGGGCCACTTTTGAGTTACGTCTTCCCTCAGAGGGCCGTTATGACAGTGAAACCACAAAAATGTTTAATCGCATTATGGCATTATTACTTGTAAGGGTAAAAAAATTATTGCAAAATCTCAACGTCATTAATTACACATGACAATTTGACATTTCAGTGCATTTTTTAGCAAGGATCATGCAAGTTGACACACATAATTTTCTTTCGGGGGGCCACATAAAATGATTTGGCGGGCCGGATCTGGCCCCGCGGCCTGGAGTTTGACACTAGTGTTTTAATGTGTTCGTGTGCATAAATAAATAAATAAATAAATAAATAAAAATTATTATTATTAATTATATTGGAGGGAGGCACAGTGGTTGACTGTTTAGCATCTCTGCCTCACAGTGCAGAGGTTGTGGGTTCGATTCTGGGCCTTGGCCTATGTGTGTGGAGTTTGCATGTTCTCCCCGTGCCTGCGTGGGTTTTCTCCGGGTAGTCCGGTTTCCTCCCACATTCCAAAAACATGCACATGAGTTTGATTGAACACTCTAAATTGTCCCTAGGTGTGATCGTGAGCGTGAATGGTTGTCTGTGTGTCCTGCGATTGGCTGGCAACGAGTTGAGGGTGTACCCCATCGACTGGGATAGGCTCCAACACGCCCGCAACCTTCATGAGGTCCATAATCGGCTCCGGTAATGGATGTATGGAAGGATGGCTGATATCGTCCGTAACCCGAAACCCTTGTATCTCAAATCATCTTTCCATATCTACATGAATGAAAATGCCATCAATCTGTTCCAGTCTCCTCCAAAAAACTAGTGCTGAATGATATGGACATTTCATTATCTCGAGAGCGATATGATACAACTTCGGACTCATTCAAAACCAATCACTTTTCTAAAAAAGTAAAATTATCATAATATAAAAGGACAGGAAAAGTGCAGTATTATTGATTGGTGGACACTCTCAGTCATCAACATGAGCAAAAAGTCACTTATAAATCAAGTAGAAATCAAACATGCGCCTGCGCTTCTGCTGTACCAATAAAGAACAAGTATTTTATGTGTAATTTGTATGTTTTATTTCCTCTAGAGTTGCTGCAAATCTTTTTTTCTGGTAAGTTTGTTGTTTGTTTGTTTGTTTGTTTTAAAATTATAAACACATGTTAAATATTGACAACCGACGATGCATTCGGTAGCACGTCTGCATCTCCTGGGTTCGAATCTCGGCTCAGGTCTTCCTTTGTGGAATATGTATGTCTATTTTCCCTGTGATTGCATAAATTTTCTCTGGACACTCGAGCTTCCTCCCACATTTCAAAAATTGTTCATTAAAGACTCTTAAATTATTTGTTGAATGTGAGTAAATGGTTGTTTGTTTATCTATATGTTCTGTGCGATTGGCTAGCGAATGGAAATTGCAATGCTTCTTATTATTCTCATACTTCTTTACCATACACAGAAAACATTCTCTAAATTTTGCAAAGTTATCTGATCTTAGGCCACTCCCACAGCACAAAACTGTGCCCGGTACCGTACATCAGCTGAAGCAGTTGAGAATCAATATTAAGCAAATAGCATGATCAAAAAAAAAAAAAAAGAAATGAAATACATTAATAATACTCACCGCAGATCCCGATTGAGTATATCTGCTTTCCTAGTTGAAGTTGCCTTTCACAAGTTTTGCTCTGACCAACCAATCAGACGCTGAAAAAATGTGGACGTCATCAAGGGCCAGCATTGTGGCCCTGTGTGGATGAATCTGAACTCTGACTGGTTGAACAAAATGTTCCCATTGCTCATATTGCTAAAGTTACATCAGGCATCACATATTTCTTTTGATAGCGGTGCGGACACCCACAGCGGCTCCTCTTGTTTTATGTGAGAGAGAAGAAAGCACATTTGACAATAAAGTTGTATCCAATCCAAAAAAAATCTGAATGATTCTGAAAGCGCTAGTCAGAGCAGATTGATGTTGCAGTACACAGACACTGAAATCTGATAGGACCAAAAAAAAGAAAGAAAAAATAACCCTGACATTTTCGGTATATGTACCAAACATCAATAATAAGAAGACTGTTTGGAATAAATGTATACACTTTTATGGAATATTTTAAAACATTTAGGTTGAGATTTTAAAGCGACTTTGAGCGTTGTCTCTGCCGCAGGTCAGACAACCAGAGCGACAGCGGCAACGGCTCAGCTGTCAAATACGAGATGCAGGGTGATGGAGACGCTGTCCACCCCAAAGACCTGCTAGGCCCCGAGGCCTGCGTGGCCTTTTTCCTGCTCCTGCTCCTCATCTGGTTCCTCAACCGAGAATTTGAGGTGAGTTACCGTCTCCATTACCACGGCAACGTGGAGGCCGACCAGCACCGCATCAAGATCCAGAACATGAGGGACCAAGCCGACTGGCTGCTGCGCAACATCATCCCCATTCACGTGGCGGAGCAGCTGAAGGTCACGCAGAGCTACTCCAAGAACCACGACAACGTGGGCGTCATCTTCGCCAGCATCGTCAACTTCAGCGAATTCTATGAAGAGAGCTACGAAGGGGGCAAGGAGTGCTACCGGGTCCTCAACGAGCTGATCGGCGACTTTGACGAGCTGCTGCGGACACCCGCCTTCGCCAATATCGAAAAGATCAAGACCATTGGAGCCACTTACATGGCGGCGGCGGGCCTCAACGCTCAGCAGTGCGCCGATGCCGCCCATCCTCACGCTCACTTGCGCGCGCTCTTCGACTTTGCCCTGGAAATGATGCGCGTGGTGGACGACTTCAACAAAAACATGCTGGGCTTCGGCTTCAAGCTCCGCATCGGGTTCAACCACGGGCCCCTCACCGCCGGCGTCATCGGTACCACCAAGCTCCTGTACGACATCTGGGGAGACACGGTCAACATCGCCTCTCGCATGGACACCACGGGCGTGGAGTGCCGTGTACAGGTCAGCGAGGAGAGCTACTGCGTGCTCAGCGGCATGGACTACGACTTTGACTACCGCGGCACCGTCAACGTCAAGGGGAAAGGACAGATGAAGACCTTCCTTTACCCCAAATGCGGCGACAGCGGCCCCGTGCCTCAATACCAGCTATCCGTGTCCCCGGAGATCCGAGCGCAGGTGGACGGCAGCATCGGACGCTCGCCGACCGACGAAATCGCCAGCATGGTTCCGAGCGCGGCGGCGAGCGGCAGCATGGTGCCGAGCGCCAGTGCCGGATCCTCCGCCAAAACGGGCCTTTGTCACGAGAGGGCCGACGGGCTTCAATGGCGCCCTTCTGCGCAGGCCTCTCACGCCAGGCGATCCGCTTCACACAGCGGCCTGACGTCCGTGCACGTCGACAACCTGGAGGGACCACCCTCGGTCGCCACTAGGAGCCGACTCGTCGTCTCGGTGGCGGTAAAGCCAACCCGGAATGCGACGGCAGCGTCCCAGAAGGACAAACTCCAGGATTCCAACAGACTCTAAGCATTTTCGAAGCTTTTATCACAAGCATGCCAGTCAGGAGTGGGGAACCTTTTTCCGTTTTTATATGAAGTCCACCGAGGACTGATTGCTGAAAAATACTCTGTTTGATATTAGGGAGCTTGCCTTCCTATTTTTTTTGAAAGTTGCCGTTGGTTCCGCTTGCCTCTTCCAGCCGACAGTTGGCATTTGAAGCACCACAGTATGGAAAAGCCCAAAGGAAAGCCTGTTTTTTTTTTAATGCTGGAAACTTGAGCGACTGACAATTTTAACGGCTTGTGCCAAGTCCAAAGAAGAGAGTGATATGACGAACCGCATACTTGATTATCTCTACCTTTAATCCATCTTCTTTTAAGTGCCTTTAGAATAGAAGAACTTCTAGACTCCTGCCTTTTTTTTCCAAAAACACTTAAAAGGGAACAAAAATGCTTTAGATGTATTGCTTTCGAACAAGTTTTGTTGTTTTTTTTTTTTTTGGGGGTGGGGGGGCACTTTGCCTTTGATTATCTCCAGCTGACCTTACATGCAGAAAGTGCTACACGATTTCTAAGAGTGAAATGCTTTCCTTGTTCGTCGTGAAAACACCAAAGCTGTTTCAGAGACTCGTGGAGGTGGAGCTGCATGTTGAGTGTGCGTAACAGCATGTACAGTATACATGGCGTGTGGGTTTGTGTTTTTACATCCGTTGCAACAAGATCAGATGGAAAGCTAAGGGAGGACTAGAAACCTTCTTTTATATGTCGCTTAATGTTTCCTTTTTTTTTCAGTTTTGTCGTCCCCCCCGCCCCCCTCCAAGTAACATGGCAGTCTCTCTCAGCTAATATGTGAGATTGAAACGCTCGCCTGAAACTCTTTCTTGTCTCTGTGAAGCAGGAAACTACACATTTTAGAGTGACTGAATGGATTTTTGGATTAGCGCAAAACTCAACTGCCCAATTATTATTATTGTGGTAACCCTTGAAATGCTTATGTGAATCTTCTGTTTCTCTTATTGAGAACATAGAATCTGGATGCATTTTGTTTTAACTGGCCGTACATCGTTGATTTACTTGTAGGATTGTTGTTATTTTTACAATGCAGCCTCAAAAGTAAAAGTGTCTATTATTCAGAAACTTTCCTGGAAAAACCCACCTCAAAAGTCACAAAAAAAAACCTGGAAGGCGACGGAGTTTCATTCCGATTTACCCTGAATTTGTACTTAAAGTCCACAGTCTAGCACCAATTTTATCTCTACTGGAATAACAATTGTGACATTTATGTAAAATATACATTTGGACCCCTGTTATTCAAGTATAATGCTGACGTCCATTGAAATGCTACCCCTAGTCCTCAAATCACCCCAAATTTTCCAAAATTTCTCACACTTAGCTTCATCCATAATTAGTTTCCTCCCCCCCAAACTAGTTTTTACACTTGTGGGACATTTACTCTAAATATGCTTTTTGATGTATAGTGATTTGCATCACAGTTTTGATATTCTGAGTTTGGATCTCATCTCCAGCTTTCCTTTGTGTTTGCAAAATAGAAACAAAAGCCCCAAAAAGTTTCCACGGTGTGATCTGAAGTTAGGCTGATTTAACGAAATGTGTGCTCATGGGCTAAACAAATGAACAGTGAAAATCAGACTGTCTTAACATAATCAAGCAGTGCTAACCAAAATTATTGATGAAAAGAGTTTGGGGTTTTTTTTGCCCATTTGTCATGATTTATTTGACATTGCCCTATGCGGTGTACATATTTTTTTTGTATTATTGTGGATATCTTGTGCCTTTAATTTTCCTGTCTATGCCAACATTAACTATATTAAGTAACTGATGGAAATGTTTTATGTATTTAAGTAGTGCCTTTTTTTTTTAACATAAGTCATTGTGAACATACGCAATACGTGACATAGGCGAGCCATACAGCTAACTTGTTTTGTCTTTTTTTTTTTTTTGTTCCCCCCCCTTTGCCTTCTATTATGTCCTGGATGTATTTTTCTAGTTTATAGTTTTGAGCGCACCAATGCAAATGGAGTCAAAGGGATTTGGTGCTATTCAGCACAGAGTTCTCACCCAAATGCGTATTTATTACCACAGTAATTGTACGCTTCAGCAGTGATCCAAGAAGTACGTAGTAAGTTTTGGGTAAAGTGCATATTTATCTATTCTTTATTAATTTTGACCAAAAAAATTTTCCAGATAACTCAAAATTAGTCATTAGCATCATATTTTAATAAGTGTTTTAAGTGGGTAATTTGTATCCATTTCATTGTTTTTTTTTTGTTTTGTTTGTTTTTTTGCTTCTTGGACAACAAACATGAGATTTAAGATGTTTTGTTGTTTGACGTAAGCGGTGTTCTGAGCCAGCGTAGTGGCATGCTGGGAAATGTTGATGCCAAAGAGTGTCATCGCCGTCTCGTCTGCATTAAAAAAGAAAAAAACGTTTTCTGCATATCTGATTTGGTGAGTGCATAGTATATAGCGGTACTCAGTTTTTCTGTATGTTGAGTATGACTTTGTATTGTATTGTATTGTATCTGCGCATTTTATATTATTTATATAAGCGCATGTACTGAATAACAAAGGAATAGCTATTTACCAATGTCAAAATAATTTATAGTGTGCTAAATTGTGTTTGTGTTTTGAAAGGGACTCACTTATTTAGCTGTAATAATTTATAGCATTTTTCCATACATCATCTGTCAGATATTTTGTCAGTTTTTTTTTCTAGAGTCCCAACCACCCAAATAAAGGCCCTTCTAAATGTAAACAGTGCAAAGAGCCTGCCACACTTATTTTTATGACTTAGTGTTGTTGGATTGTTTTTTTGTTTGTTAGTTTGGGTTTTTTGTATTAGTGCATTTATTTGTTGTGCCAAAGAAGGTAATGTTAACGTAATGTCGTAACTTTCTTTAATATACGGCATGTCAACCCATTTTTTCCATTGCTACTTTGTTGTTAAACGTTTTTACTATCCAACATGAGATGAATGTGATTGGAGGCATTGGTTGAGGTTATTCTACTGCTCACTCCATATCAAAATATACTATATATATATATATATATATATACACACACACACACACACACACACACACACACACCACCATTTTTAAAAGTCCATTATTTTAAATATGTTGTGGCTGCATAAATACAAGATTATTAGTTTTTGTATTTGTGCTTTGTGAAGAGGTTTTTTTTTTTTTTAAATACCTACAATGAGCCACTTTTCTGTTACAAGTGTACCTCAGCAGTTCTAGTATGAATACAGGTTCGTCTGGACACATAGGCAAATATGTTATTTTCAAGTACCGGCAATGGCATATTCAGCATTTTATTTATTAGGAATGTTTTATTAATATTATGTATAGCATTATTGACATTTTTTTCCAGTATTTGTCTCAAAAGTATACGAAATTAATTTTTGTCAATTAGATTTTTCTTACAATTGTTATTTGGCGTACACCCATACGATGCATAACTCTCCAATTGCAAATACAAATATTGTAAATTGAAAACTGTTCAAAATACGAAAAATGTCTGGGTTTTTTTTGGGGGGGGGGGGGGGGGGGGGGAATCAATTGTTTTTCCTGAGCTGTAAAAGTGTAGTTAGTCAAAGGTACAGAAAAAGTGAACATGAGTCTTCATTTTAAATTTCGGGGTTTTTTTACGCCAATAAAACATTTTCGAAATGCAGTACAGTATTCATTATTTTTACGGCAGCAATTAGTCTTGCGTCCACGTGACGCACGGTGGGCACAGGTTTGCGTCATGACGTCATATGCACGCCCCCCCCCTCTTCACCCCTCCTTACCCTCCCCTCCTCCCCCACAGTCTAGCTGGGAAGAAAAAAAAACTTTTTGTATCGTAGGAATCAACAGCCGCCATCTTGACGCGGCTCAGAATCGGGATTTCTGGGAGAGAGTTAATTGTCAAAAAACCGAGCGGAGCCACCCAGAGCGGACCCCGAACGCCATTTTGTCGCCCCAAATCGAAGCGCGAGCTCTTCCGGGGAGGATTAATGCAAACATGTGAGGGCTACTGGAGATTTTGTCGTGCCGAAAGGCCACCGTATATTTGATTTCCCTTTTAGCGAGCGCCGCTTCTCGCCGTCCGCATCGAACCTCCGTATTTTCCGGCGCGACAGCCACTGAAAAAATAATCCGCCGAAAAGAAAATATTTCTCGATTTTTGCTCTTTTTATCGGAGCCCGAGGTGGATTTTAAGAGGGCTCGTTTCGACGGCGAAAAAAATGACTCCACACGGACGCGTCGCCGGCGATCGTCGCAGAAATGGCTTCTCATTCGCTTGGCGTAATATTTCCTGATTGATTTTTATTTATTCTTCTCGACGTGAGATAATTTCGGATGCAGTTTTGGGGAATAATTATGTGGGTGTTGGATGTTGGATTATCATGGGGTGATCTCCGGCGGCGAAGCGTGGCGCTGTTGCCTTTCTTTTGAAACCTTCTCTCCCCGGCAGCATTTTGCCACACAAGGAAAAACCAAACAGTTAAATTGATTCCTTTTGACGCGCTGTCATTGGAAAACGATACCAATTAGAATAAAAAAAGCCTAGGACCACCTCAGGCTGAGTACCCAGAATGGCTGACAATCTGCTGGATGTCGGACCCCCCACTGCAAAGCGACCCAAACTCAATTCACCTCTCTCGGCTTCGGACGGCCCAGGTGAGTGATGCTTCGCTTCATGTTTGATTTGTCACCAGGTTTAAGATGTCACTAAAATGGGACTAAGATGCCACACTCAAGTCACAAGACCACCCCTGTCGCTGTCATACTGAGGGGGTCTTCAAGCTTTTATCTTCCGTGAGGTACTTTTGACACAGTCAAAGTTCCAAATAACAGTGCTCATCTCCACAACACGTGAATGTGCTTCTTTTTGCACATAACACACATTCATAAATAATAATCAAGGGAAAACAACTTTAATTCACCTATACTGTTTTAATTGTCTAATGATGTGTGTGCGTTTAATATAGTTATGCACTGATACCAGGACTGCACAATTAATCAAATTTGATTTGTGATCATGATTTTGACTGCCACGTTAAATTAACGTGATCGTCAGTGATATTTACATTTTAAATGTGGTTCTGCTGCATATGGAATCAAGCACTCTCTCAACCGGTAGTCAAACCAATCACCAGCGGGCGACCGTATGCTTATTGCTTTTTTAGGCTGCCTAAATAAGAAGCAAGTGCACCTTCCAACAGGAGCCTAAAGTCACTCAGGGCTGATGAGTAGGAGTCAAGTCAAGAGAAAAAAGTACAGCAAAAATTGGAGATGAAGATCCTCCACAGGGATTAACAATTTCGCAATTGCACGCTGTAGTAGCATATTTATTCAGCTAGCCATTTGTAAATTTAAAATTAATGTGCAAATTGTTTTTATTATTTTGAAATATTCTTTTTCACGTTTCATTTTGCACTGAAAACTGTTTACATGCAGGAAGAAAAAGTAGAAGTAGCAGTAGTATTTGTCATGACAACAAATGCGTGACCTATTGCTAATTTGGCATGCGGCATCCGCCAAAATGACAGTCTGTCAAAATGCTCAGTGTGATTAGAAGGGGGCCTTGAACATGCGTACAACTCAGCAAGAATTAAAAAAAAATCTGAAGTTTGGGAGAAATTTATTTTTTTTTGTTTGTGGAAAAATATGGCCTTACTGTGATATTGCTTATAGAAAATCTGGTCTAAAAAGATGTAAAATTTGAGTAAAACAGTTGAACTTATTTCTTAAAAATATCTTCCTGATTGTTTCGTCTTTTATTCAGGGAACCCTTTCTCCAATTTGCTGACAAGTTTCAGTAGTTAAAATATCCACCGATAAGACTTTACAGAGTGCATATCGGAGGTGTTCTCTGAGTCTATAGGGGTGTTCACGCGGCAACTTTTACTCCAGTGTCGCACCGAGGCTGCCCCCCGTAGAGCGTTCACGCGTACAAAGTTATACCGGTGTAGCCCCTGAAAACAGCTTAAACCGGAGCAAATTTAACCCTGCTCAGGAGGTGGTTTAAAAATTTACTCCCGAGTAAATGCTAGTTTGCGAGGCAGCACCGATATAAAATGGGACGTGTGAACGCTACAGGGGTAGACTCGCTACGCATGAGCAGAGTTGATTACATACGGGTATTGACTGCGTTGTTTTCGTGCTCTGTTGTACTTCTGTCATCTTTCCTTTCTCTCTTCTCTCATCCTTTTACGGTGTCTTATAGACCACAGCGTTGATTTGTCCTGAGAAGTATAAACCATGGTTTTTCGATATGTCACAAACATGGCGGGGAAAAGGACGTACAATTTACTCATGCGCATGTTTTATTTCCGTCTTGTTACTATCGTATTGCAGAAACTGCCGTGTGAACGCAAGTGGGGCTGCACCGGGGTTAACGCTTCTCTTTAGTAAGCAGTTTTTTTACGTGTGAACGCTCCACAAAATTTACACTGGTGTAAGACATATCGCAACAAAATACGTCGGTGCAGCACCGATGCAAATGTGTTCCGTGTGAACACTCCTTATATATCAAAATGAAGGTGATGTTTCAAACAGCATGTCTTGCGTAAAAATTAGATTTAAATAGCGCAGTTTGGACATTATTTATGATAAGAGGTAAATCCAAGTAGAATGAATTACTGTACATGTTTCAGTTATGTTGTACTTTATTTATCAATTTAATGTATGTAGGATTTTAAGGCTGTTTGAATTGCTCATTCCATGTTTTTAAGAAAATCGATAAAGATAGCAGCCACAAATGTCATGACTGATATTTAATGTCCAGCAACAAATGTCCTTCATCGCCTGTCGCAAGGCATTTTAGTTGTGTGGTGTCTCGGTCTGAACAGCAGGGGCATCATTTTGAAGGATCATGTGGGTAAGAGGCTAAGAGAAGAAAAAGCGATGGCGAATCTGGTGCGTATGCACGTAATATGGATGCCATGTTACGTCTTTGTGCTAACCACAAAATAGTCAGAAGAAACTCAAGACTGCTTCTTAACAATACAAGAACTTCCAAAAATCCAACTTTGGCAGGAAAACTGAAATGATGCTTTAGTTCACTTGTGCTTTCTTGTTTTTCCTTGACGTGCTGTGGGTGGCGATGCTGGAGAGCCATTTCTAGCCAAACAGCCTCCCGCCGCATCTTGTGATGCGGCTGACTCTGTCATCACCCAAGCAGGGTTCACGTATTTTACCGAGCCTAATTTTCTTTGGAAATGGCCTGCCGAGCAAGCGGAAGCTGGCAAGCGATATGTAGGAGACACCTGCTTGAGTCTACTTGGTGATGACTATAAAAAGGTAGCGTAGGTAATTTTCTCTGCTATGTGGGAATCACTGAGTGCTGGAGTTTAGTTGTGGACCTCCTCTGTCTCTTCTTCTGGTTCTTAGCTACATGTCTTCCAGTCGGCCCCAGTGCTGTCCAGCATGTGGCAGCACAACATGGTACTAAACTGAAGCCACGCATCTCAAAATTGGGACTTGCCAGATCATCTAAAAACCCAAATGCTGCGATTTAGCAGGCAGGCTTCACTGTACCTCGAAATTTTCCCAGCGTGAGAAACTGCGCAAGATGAGCACATTTAACGTCTACCTCGAATTCCAACAACAGTTTTCCAGCAACTGAATGCTAAAAATAACTACAAAGTCGAGAAAAGCGGCACATAGATGAGAAAGTAGCCTAAGGGTCTGTGTCACCTGTCCAACCTGCACAACAACTTTGTGCATCACCTGTGAGACCTTGAATGTTTAACAAAAAAAGATTTGAAGCTTTTTGAGTAACCATTTATGAACATCAGAGGATAATATCCCCATTCACATTCGCATTTTAAAAGTCGCGCAATAAGCATTTTTTTTCTTCACAATTTAAAATGCTTCGTAAGGGGTTTGAAAATGTTTGAAGAGCATTTGTCAAAATGGGACCACGACTTTGAGAACACCGTACCTCGTGTCTTCCAATTTAAATGAACTGCAATTAATGCAGGGGAGCGGCAGTTAGTCCCTGTCCATATCCTGCTCGACAACTGCAGGTTCGACATTAAGCCGTTTGGGGTGTCGGCTCTATGGGGCTGCTCTGAACCACGTGGGCGTGGCCGTGGTAGAAAAAGTACTGGCTCCATAGATTCATCATATAGTATGATGCATGTCAGTGATTATTTCATATTTACTGTCTTTGGGTTGTTTGAAAAAAAATGCCGACCGTAAAGTTTTTTTTCGAGGTAGAAATTCTCGGTCGGTCGGGTTACCGGAAACACACTACTTTTTTTTCTATGCCTTATATTTATGAAATATCTACTGGCCCTTTTCAGGCCAGCATTTGTAAGGTGGCCTGGGCCAATGGGCCACCATTAATATTGGACCCTGCAAATGGCTTTTGTCATCGTCACAACTATGGGTGGAGCTCGGGGATTGAGTGATCTACTTTCTGAAGCGAAGCCTAAAGTTTGGCCAATAAAGCAACTGCCCGTGAGGAGTGAAAGCATTTTCATTCAAGGAGGCAGCACATCTTATACAAGACTTCATGCACTTGTGGACTAGCACGGTGGGTCTGTGCATGTCGGGCATGCAGCGGAAACATGCTTTGGGGGGGGGTGAGCAATGTCTCATTTGCATGAGACAGAACCATCTCAAAACAAGCTCATTTCCACATGGCTCGATATATTGGGTGAAAAGTGTCCTGTGCTTGAGCGAGGTGAAAAAATGGTCAAACGTTCACCAACCACAGGCTTTCTTTCCTACCTGTCTGACTAGTGCGTCTATCAACACCAGTGCCTCTGGCGAGCTTTATACGCCGACATGCATTCAAGTTGCATTCAAGCGTTCCGAGTCTCACTTTCCCCCCCGAGCATGGCAAAGGCGCTTCTCTGAATCTTCTGATGATGTTTCTGCTGATGTGGAACAGATTGCCTTGAGGAAGCGGTTGAAGGCGGTGGATTACCAGCTTGTTTAACCATTCCGCTTATCCCTCCAGCCCTTTTTTACATCAGGCCTACCCTCCGTCTAATCTATATTTGTCACATCTCGCACATCCATTCCCAGCTGGCCCAAAAAATCCTAATACAAATAATTTATTCAGATTGGTTTGTCTATAAACCAATGCCATGTCCAAATGGTTCTTTTCTGTGGCGCTCTCAGTTTGGCTTGATGCAGGCAGAAAGCCATCTCCGATCTACATCATGACAAATATCATCACAAATATCAAATCCACGCATTTCTATTTAGAAAACACCAAGCGACAAGTTTTTGCTGGCTTCTTGCCGTAAAATAACAATTGAATGTTTGCACTGGGAAGCTGTGGTGAGTGGCCCCAGGCGCTGATGTAATGGGAGCCTTCCCTCTGGACTTGGTGTTCGTCTGGTACAAGTTGATGTGGGCAATTTTGCAGGAAAAAAATCCAACCAACTGCACTAATTTTGACTCTTGCTCCAAGCCAGCACTGGCACTTGCTCAGTGTGAAATGAGACATTTAATGTGTGGGGAAAGGATACACCACTTGTTGTTAGGGTAATCACCTTACCTAGAACCCCAACACATGTTTGGGGTCAGATTCATTTCAAACAACTTTTTAAGATGTGCTCTAACCTCAGTTTTAAAAAAATACATATACAGTGAAAGTCCTCCACAACGAAACCTGCATGGGTGAAAATACCCCCTAGTGTGAAAAAAATCTTCATGCATTAAAACCATTCCCACTTTTCTGCTCCCCCTACAATGAAAAATCCTCCTGTTGCGGAATACGAAGATTCACTACAACGAAAACAAGCCTTCCGCAAAAGTCTAATCCAACCTCAGCCTACAGCAACTCCTACTGCTTAGCTCGGAAACGGCAACAGCAAACACCACAGTGGCTTACACATGCACAGTAGTACAGGAAGTATTTGTTATTGTTAGTTTCAGACGCAGCACGAACGTTGCATTGCTAAAATGGCGACAAAAACTGACCTGTGCAGACCAAGGAGTGAAGAAAAGAAAAGCTTTAACGCTCGAAGACAGGATAAAAATAATAAAAATGAAAGATGGAGGAAGCAAAGTAAAAGACATTATGCAAGAAATTGATGTAAGTGAAAGTGAATGCTGATCGTAAATTTCGCAATTTCTTTCCCTTTTTTTTCTTTCGACGCTGGCTATATGAAGTGTCAAATAAGCGTATGCTCATACTTATGCATTATTGGAATAAAAATAAAGAGTACACATACGTGTGTGTGTGTGTGTGTGTGTGTGTGTGTGTGTGTTTACATCCGAGATAAATTTGCTATAGTGAAAAGTCCCCTGTTGTGAAAAATTTCTTGCTGCAAACATGATTTCGTTGAAGAGGAGTTTCACTGTATATTAGTTGGTCAAGTTAAAATGTGCTGGTCAACGTGGCACCTACTGCCTGAAGCTTTATGATGTACAGTCTTACCACTCTCCTTTTTGTCCTCTTTAGACCTTGTGTCCCTGTTTGACCTGGAAAATGACCTTCCGGATGAGCTCATCCCCAATGGAGACCTGTCTCAGATGGGAATGTCCTCTAATGGTGGCGCCGGAGGAGGCCCAGGTCTCAACTCCATCGTCCCAGACGCCGCCGCCAAACACAAGCAGCTGTCCGAGCTCCTGCGGCCTGGTAGCTCCTCCAACTTGGGAAGTTCTCTCAACTCTGCCAGTCCCCAAAAGGCAGGCATCGTGGGAGGGCAGCTCGGAGTCGTGCTCGGAAAAAGCCCAATTGGCCAGGGCTCTCCAAATCATCAGTCTCCCCAGGCCCAGAAAGTAGCAGTTGGTCCGGGGCAAGGCAATGGAGGCGTGAGCTTCAATCAGGCCCTAATGAACAGTGGGCAGGGACACGGGGTCTTGGGCCCAGTTGGACAGGTGATGAATGGTGCTCTGGGACCAGCAGGCCGAGGAAGACCTGCCATGCAGTACCAGAGCCAAGGTATGCTTGGGGCATCAGGAGGAAGCATGTTGGCAGAGACGCTTACTCAAGGAGGGCCACAATTAGGCGGACCCAACTCATTGACTCCTCAGCAAGCTGGACACGTGAATAAGGTGAGTGGGAAAATGTGTTCATGATTTCCAACACTGACTTGAGATGGGCAAAAAAGTATTCTCTAGTAAGAAATCATATTTGCGCTGTCCAGTCTTTTCTTATAACAGAATTTTCTTATTTGGGATATGACAATGGTCCATGTCCTGAATGAACATGCAAGTATGTGAACAAAATACATGTTCAACAACAAAGCAATGAAATGCAAAAATATATGCTCCAAACACTGTTTATAACACAAAAGCTGCAGTATACAGTACAGGTATATGAACAAAATACAGTATAACAAACTTAGGACTATTTGCTCCAAAATGAGACTAGTAACAGACCTGGTGGCTTTTCTTTCCACTCAATCACTGTCTCTAACTTGACCTCCCCTCGATTGCCACCCAAGTCAGCGTCGCTCAGCTGACGTCGTGCAATGAACTTATAAAGCCAGCCATGGGACACTTCGAAGTCCTCGATGCCCATAGTTAGCGCGCTGGAACTCGCCATCTCTCTAGTTAGCGATCCAGTTAGCAGAAGGATTTTACCATGATAGCAGGTAAAGCATTCCAGGAAACGTTCGTTTACTCGACTGTCCGTCGAGCCACAAGCAATTTACTCTGAGCAGCTAATTGGATGCATTCCGCTCTCTCTTCCACGGTCATTACTGTTCCTTTTCGTTTGGATGGCACGATCAACAGGACATAAATGTAAATGAATGAAATAAAAAATCGTTCACTGTTCCAGTAAAATTCAAGCTAATAGAGTCACTTACATATCGCCGTTTTGGATCCAATGAGAGTAAATAGCGGCGCGGACAGAGTTGTTCCGTAGTCTCAAGCGGGACTTGCTTGTGTTAGCGCCATTGCGGGCTTCCATATGGCTTCCGGGTTCTGCGTACTGGAACTTCCGTTGTTATAAATCGGTCGTGAATGTAATATCGTAGTCGAAATTTTAATGCATAGGTTTTTATTCCGGGTGAGGGAATTTCCGTTTGAAAGAAGTCCGTAGATGGGAAGACTTACTGTATTATTAGCAGGGATGTGTTCCTCGAGCCGGTCCTTGGCCTCGAGGACCGGCTCCCCCGACCGACGGGGGGCTTGGCCTTGGCCTTGAGAGTCAATTCCTTGGCCTTGGCCTCGGCCTTGGGAGTCAAGTCCTTGGTCTTGGCCTTGGCCTCGGGTTGCCGGTCCTCGGACACAATGAGGGATTAGAGCCTCGATGTCCACAGGTATAAAGTGGGACCGAGGATCGCAATGATCACGAGGGAATCAAATAAATTCCATCCAGCGAAACGCATATTGATGTATTAAGCTGGCGCTTTAAAAGGGGCGGGTCTGCCACTGACAGACGACAGTTAGCGCAACGAATAAAGAGCGGCATCACAGTTAGTTTCAATCACGGTTTGTTCCGTTCGCGATCGGCAGTTTAAATAGCGTGTAAAGTCTTTCTGTAACAGTGGTGTCTTTTATGTAGTTATTTTTGCACAGTCGTCACGTTTCTGCGGTGGCACTA